AGAGGGAGAGAGAGAGAGATTAAAATGGGAAAGATTCAATTATTTTAGTCACGTGTTCGTGATATTGCATTTCACTGCATATCACGGAAGTAAAATGAGAACTTTACTGATCTTTCCAGATGATACGTCATATATTTCTATAATCAGTACATTGACTAATGATGATATCTTTTAAATGAAGAAAATAATCATTTTTATAATCACATTTTTATCATACACTTTCGAAAGTTCAGTTAGAAGGTGCTTACATCGTCGACATCGATCGACGTGCGAAATGATCGATCTTCTAGAGACATGATGATATCCATAAATTACAATTACATGAGACTCTTCTTGTGTCTTGCTTATATCATTCTACATGGGTTTGTTAATTTTACAATAAAAATCGACAAAACTGCTTCATTAATTTTCCATTATAACAAAAATTTATTCAGAAGCAAACACGCACGAGAGATTTCCGTTCAAATTAAATAATTATAGCATCTGAAAAAAATTTTTTTATGTGCCTTTGATTTTATTTTAATATTTTTTTCTTCTACTTCTCATATTATAATTTCTTATTTTCATATCCGTAACTAGTCCGTGCTAGCTTTCTCCATTTTCCAATCGATCTCTGATCTTCAAGTCTTTCGCGATCGTCTCGAACTACGATAAACCATTAGGGTCACGCTCAATTTCATCGGGGTTACGGTGTATGCGTGTAACGATAGTAAAAATGCCAACGTCCTATCTTTAGCGAAAGACTTTCGCCGCAGAATCTTCCGAGAGCTTTACAATCATAACCCTCGCACGCTCCTTTCTAATCCGTAGGAGTTCAGAATTGAAGTACGATCAGAGGAAGACCCGGGAACGACCCCACGTTCCACTTTCATTCATAACGCCACCCAATGTTCCACCTTAATTTTTTTATTGATATTTTTCCCAAAGATGCCTATCATCGTAATCTTTTAGAAATCGAGCGTTAAGAAAGCTATATACAGCTTCTCTATGCTGATTCACAGCTTCCTTCTTTTCCCGCAGGTCGTTAGAATATTTAGATATTCAGGGTACTGGAATACGAGATTAGACTATAAAGATGAGTTGCTCCGTCATTCCACTTCATATTCCAGTTCATAAACATAAATGTGTTTCGTCTTGAATTCACCTGCAGGTATTTTGAAAAGCTGAGGACAAATGTAATGGAATGAAATATTTTTATGCACAAAATAGATAATTAAATCACATTATATTTGAAATCATGAATTTCTTTTCTCAGTTACTTTATTATTAACGATTGCATAACGTTTTGCGGGACAATTATTTTCATAATGTATCCTTATGCGTAACATCTGTCGGAAATGTGCGATCCATCGTGCGTTCCAATCAGCGTAATTTTGCGAATGTGCTGATTCGTAAGACGCGACCCACATTTTCTGTTGCTCTTCTGTCCGACAGCGTTTCACCTGTCCGCGATTCGGACGCAAATCCGGAAAGGGAAGAATGATACGATCAAGCTTGAAGAGATCATAAAACAGTGACTAAAAAATGAGAGTAAACCTGTTTCCAAAACCAGTGCCGCGTGAGAATTGTCACTCATTTGAAATGTCCCGTTTCGAGAAAGAAACAAATTATCAAATAAATTATCTTTAAAGTATAATAAAATAAAACTACACAAATGTGACTTTTTAAGAATTATAATAAATAACATTTTTTAAAGAAAAATTTGCTATGAAATATCCCAGAGAAAAATTCTATAGAACAGAGAAAACTCTGTTTCGTTTCTCGATAGTTTTCCTTTCACTTTTAGCATCCGAATTTACATTCTCACGGTTTATTCTGCTCATTCCTAGATGGTAACATTGTTAGATCATGTTGTTAAGGATCAGAAGATTCGCCGCGGACACGTGTATCAATCATCTGTCCGTCGATCACTTTATAAAATGACAAGAAAAGCCGCTAGATACACTTATAATGAAATAAAGGGTTATCAGGGCTATCTGTAACTCTTTAATTAACTTTAAATAGTACTATAATGATGCAAAAATTTTATTAATATCGATACTATGTTATAATATTTATTTTGCAAATTTTAGAATCTTGTCGCTCATTTCTTTTTTTAAGATCAAATTACTATGTTTTTATGCGATTAATTTCATTCTCTCGTGAAAGTATAGTAACAGTTTGATTGTTAACAGTACGGCATAGTAACGATCTTGAATCTACGTCGCTGACGATGAAGCACTCTTGAAGGCCCAGTTTCCCAGAACGAATGTCCTTTATTATTCATAATATTCATCCTCTCACGAAAGTAGGCTAGTGATAATTCTTAATATCAGGAAATTAGCCGCACGCTTTATTCACGACTTCTCTGAAACAATTTAGACTGCGCACCAGGAGATGAACGCATTCTAATGATGGCATGCGTATCTTACGCCGTGGTGGTAACGTTAGCACATTGAAGACAGTAAGTACTACCTATCATACATCGAAATACCATTTGAGCGTAGCATAAAACCGTCGCTTTCACCCCTTCCACCGTCATCAAACAGCTGTTATTAGAAACGAAGTGCGGAATTCGACGGGGAAACCGAAAGAATTTCGAGCTAAAGCTGTGGCAAATTTCGGGTGTAGCGTCGTTTCGACGAAGAAAAAAGTCATTGACATAAAAGACTTCGATGTTTATCCCAATTATTTTAACACAGGTTGCTTGCCAGACGAAAACAAAAACATAACTTCCAAAAATTCTTATTTCTAAATACTGAATAAAGTTTTTTAGTAGTAATATTTATAACAGTAATTGTTAAAAAATAATATTTGGAACAGGAATGTTATAAAATAAATATTAAAAAATAGAAATACATAGGAAATATATTTATAACAAAAAAATTTAAATTTAGAAGAGAAATAAATTTAAAATGTCGAATCGTAAGATAAAATATATCGCGTAAATAATTTTTAAATGATACACTTAATAATGTTTAAATTTTATATATAACATATACTTAAATTTTATTTCAGATGTCTCAGCAAAAAAGTTAGATTTCACAAAAATGAGAGAATTTAAAAACTTGTATAAAAAATGATCTAATGACAATTATAATGAATATAAAATATAATTAATGTGAGAAAGTTTCATGCGACTCATGTTCATGTTAACGCAATCTTATCGCGATTTTAATATGTCTCATGTTGTAGCGGACGCAAACATTGCCGCATATGCAAAATAACACTTTCCATTTACGCCATTTACGTTTTCACAGGTATTACATAGATCGCTTAATATTACAACGCTTGATGCACTTTCAAAGTAATTTTATGTGATTTGATCTAAGGTGAGAAAGTTCGCGATTGCAAACCGCGATATTTCTAATGACAAATGCGGTATTATACAATTCTTAATATAAATCTTATTTGCAAAATTATATATATAATTTTATAAGTGACATGGTTAATGTATAATTGATTTTAAGTTACATACTCGTTTAAGCAGTTTCTTGTCACAAAGAGTATGTCAAGAGTAATAAAGCATGTGATCGATATCCCTTCATATAGAAAATATCAAACACGAAATTAGGTAACTTTCTCTAAACAATTCATATACTGTTAATCACGTTATCGAGAGTAAGAGACGTAAAGTGGCAATTATAGAGAAAATAACTATATCTGTTAATTCATTGTGGTACTTACTTATATCGATTAAGTTCTTTTGACGATACGCTATTTTTTAAACGAGACAAGTATCTCAAGTAGCTAGCCAAGCGTGATATTTTATAACAAAAACATGCTTTCGAAAGCGCTCAAGTTGAATCACGCGTGACAATTCAAATAGCCCTCGACTAACAAGTAAAAATATCTACATATTATACATTTTCCTTCATCTAACGCAATTTTAATATTTCTCAAAATAATTTTCAGGGGAATTTTATTTATTATATCATTTTACAGAATTTAAGTTTTAATTGAATTAATTAAATATAAAAATATTTTTAAAAATATATTGGAATATTTTAATTCTAATATATGGATTAAAGAAAGATCGCCCAAAATTAATGAAAAAAATCTAGACTTTCCTATAAACATATAGGTTGTTGAAGACATTTTGTCCGTAGATCTGTCACCTGCTTCACGTATGCGATAAAAAGATCGCCATGATCGATATCGAAGAAAAACTTTCTCGACACGACAATAGAGTGTCACACCGAATGTACAAGATCCGAAACTGTAATCACGGAAGAACAATATGTTGATCATCTCTTAATGCGACGATTTATATAACGATAGTATATACAATGTCCCATATACAATGTTTCTTTTTTTACTTCCTTTAATCTAATTCTAATTGAAATTCGAATTGATCTTTTTTTTAAAAGAAGAAAATTCTTTTATAGAACTCTAAATATGCACATTAATATAAAAATATGCATATTAATAAAAAAAAAGTTATTAAAGTTTGTTCAGAAACGGAAACATTTGTTTCAAAACATGCAGCAATTTAAATTGTGAAACTACACTTTCGTTATATAAAAATTAACGAAATCCTGATGATATCTTTTGGGGAAGATGTGATTTGAATTGATGAGAAAATAAATAGACACACAAAAGAAAGTGCGGTGAACCTAGAACACCTTGTATAACGTAGTACAAGCGTGCGATGCTGCGTGTAGTCTATTGACCGAGAGTAAAGCCGCGCTCTCTCGCACGGATGGAGAGGAGGAGTTCGTCTGGCCGACTTCTTCCTTCTCTCCGGTACGACACGCTTATCCACCAACCCGACGACGGTCCGGTTTTCTCGGTCACGGCTGAGAGGGAGATCCCGTGTGTTCCTACATTATCCCCACGTGGACCGTGCGGGGAGGCTCTTCGTCTCCTACCACCACGAGAGAACTAAAGTTTCGCGCCAGTTCAAAGAACAGATCGGCTGCAGGTGGATTTGGCGAACGTACATCGGTACCGAAAGTTTCTTCTAGAATAGAGGTCCTTCATATTTTCGTTGGTTCGATCTGTCAATCTTTGAGAAGGCACCGTGAGCGTAATTAATCTCTGCAAACACGTGATACTTGTGGATCTTGAAAAGAATCCATCGTTGAGTGTTTAATGATATCCTCCCATGATAGTGCTGAGATTTGATAAATTGCAGTATTGATAAATCACGGTGGTAATAGCAGGAAATCCATAATAATTGTAAATTAGTTGATATTAAAACTGTTGATGAGTCTTAGTGGTTTATTAGGATGAGGATAGGACAGTCGTGCTGGGTGCTGCTGGTAAGATTGATTTTTATTTCGAGAATATATACATATATTTAATATTTATTTTTACAATTGATTGAAATTTCTTGTAAAATTTTTAATTATTATCCAGAATTTTTATCTGTAAATGCCATTAAATTTATTTATTTAACTTTATTTTTACTAATTGCACAAAACCTTATCAAAACGAATGGTAGGAGAAACATTATACTATTCTTATGTAACAAATACCTATTCTTTCTTAACAAGCGCATTTAAATCAATTATTAAAGATATAATTGCATTGGTATTTTCTTACTAATAATAAGGCATCAAATGCGTTAAAAAATAATTAATTGTAGCTATTAAATCTTTAATCGCACTTTTAAAAAAAATTTTACGCTTCGTCTTCTCTTTAGAGCTATATAAATAAAGTTTCTCATTCCGTCAATCTCCTCATGCGACGCTTTCTGCGTCAGTTACTTGGTCCAAAGTGGAACAAGACCTTTGCCGCGACCTTGATCCAGCCACTCGCTGGAATGAGGAAAAGTAATAGACCCCTCGCACATGCACCGGAATACCGAGTTCGCTCTCGCGCGGGAATTCGCGAGAGGCTCCCCATCAATGCGATAAATGTGGAATCTGACACGGGATAGCCATCACAAAATGCTCGACTGCAGTCACGCGATTTTGTCCGTTGCCGCAAAGCCCATTGAATACCAGTGAAATCGTCTGCTCGGCTCGATGATTATTGGGTCATTACGTTGATTATAAAATGACAGGCGCAATAGGTTTTTAAACCCAACAAGATCGAGTAATGGATGGTGTAAGAAGATATAATGAAAAAGAACGTCAACTGATTATATTAAACATATATTATATTCCTTATATGTTTATATTTTTATAAATATTTATATATTTTATTATATATTTATAATAAATTATATTAAATTAAATTATATAACTTATATTTTTATAAATAGTTAAATTTTTAATAATGTAACAATAATTAACAATTATAATTAATTAATTAACAACATAATATATATACATAATATATTGTTTTAATAATAACAAATAGAAATAAATCAATTCTTGAATGATTAATTGGTCTAAAGTCTAAAAATTGGACAATTAATTGATTTTCCCTTCTTTCTTGCAAAATTTCCACTATATCTCATTTCAATCAAATTAAAAAGAAATGCATTTTTAATGACTAGATAATAATCAGGACGTTCTTCATCTCATTAAAGCTAGAAGAAGTGAATTCTGCTAGAGTTGAAGTTGCACGCTGTATCGCGTGATGCATCATGGTTAATGCGTTCTTACGTGCGTGCATAGTAGCATCCTGCATTTGTTACCTCGAGCGTATTTTATTTTAGCGAAACTAGTTGCCTCTATTAGAATATCGAGAAGAGAGATTCCCGTATGCACGAAACAATTTTGTTCCATCAATTGTTAGAACGTAGTAAAAAATTAATGAATGTTAATAATAGAAGTGCCGTCAATCTCTGATTATTTATATTTAAATATCTTTTTATTTATATTAAAAATATTATTTTGGAGTTTTTTTAACTTTCTATCAATTACTCGCTCTAATCTGATAGAATATTAAAATAAGATAGAATAGAATAAAACCAAAAAATTATGAAATCTTATTTTTGATACCAAAAAAAGAGAAACGGTAAAAAACGATCGTTTGATATTTCTAATATTAATTATAAAGATAGCGATTCGATCTGTTAACATTAATGATACGTAAGGACCAATAAATATAATATTACCTCCCGTTATTAATATTCCGAGTATGAATCTAGTGTTAACGACTAGCGACTTTCAACATAATTATCTCTCACTCATGATAATTAACTCGTTTAGTTGAAAAATAATTAAATTGGAATATAAATTCATCAAGCCGTCCAATTACAAGTTGCCAGGAGTCAGCTTAAATGAAACCTACAGTCATTTACTTTCACTGAATCCAAGTTCTCGCAAAAATTATATACATATAAATTATTAAGGTATCGCGCAAGTTGAACTTTATATATTTACCGAGCTGTTAAATCTGCATAAGTAAATACTTTTACGGTGGGATCCTAAGGAGACTCCCTTTTCGACGACTTTTCCAGAATTGCAACGCGATCTCTTGCATCCTGCAAAAGCTGCATTGCAGCCACTGCGCTTCCGGTGCAACGTATGTAAACGCGCAGCCAATGTTTCTCCGGACAGGCTTCCTTCTCGTAAAAAAGAAGAAAGAAAGAAGAGGAAAGATCTCTTGCGCGATAATCGGTCACACTCTTGACAAACAAGAGATACGTGTAACGTAATTTACGCTTCCCTGCAGTTCACTCGCGGCTATGTATAGCGGCTCTCCACGCTCGTTACGATTGTTCTTTCCGGAAGTTGCGTTTTATTGTCTCCTCGTCTGAACCACACGCGCCGTTTTCACTCGCAATTCAATTAAATCGGCGTCTCGCACGCGTGACGTTCGCTAATTAACAATATCAGAAGTTAATTAACGTGCTATTTAATTCGCTTATAAAAATTTATATTCTGATTCGTATCGTACAACGTAACCACAACTTCCACCTAACTGTTAATTATAATTTACCGTACTAATAAGATTTAGATAACATTCTTTTAACACCTCTTATATTCTTTAACACATCTAATTAATTAGGCAGATGGCAGCGTAATAATGCCTAATCTCAGATTTACTAATATGTTGCATATAATGTCTTACAAGATGTTACTCAATTATTTAATAATACTGTCGGCGAATAATACGATCATACAAATTATGTATTGCAATATGCCACGTGCATCTTTTTGTTTCATCTTCTAGGCAGTCGTGCTACTGTCCCCGATCCATGCCGAGAAGAACACCGACAATGTCGATGATGTCGACGACGGCGAGAAAGCTCAGGAAAAGATATCGACGTCGCTCAAGCTCGACGAAGATGCCAAAAACAGAACGAGCAAAGTACGAGAAGTAGTGGCATCCGTGAGTGAGCACGTTTGCATGGAGAAGTTTCAAATAACATTTATCTAATATCGCTTTTTTGTTTCTCATAAAACACAAATTATATAAAATAATAATCAGAGATAATGATATAAAAAAAAGATTCATAGCACATAACGCTTGATGGACTATCAATTTACAAATAGATATTTTATGTAATTAAACATCAACAAATAAATAGTAGTTTATTTGAATACAAATTATTTTATTAAAATTATTTTATTTTTACATTTTTAGTTATTTTACTTGCATTTACTTTGCTTTAACAGAACGCAACTGAGACTCCATATTTTTCTAGGCGATGAAGATGCCGGAAAAGCGGGAACAAATTGGCGAGGTAATACCAATAATACGTAGCATGTCACCGCCACAAAAGCTGGCAATGGCAACGCTAATTTCCACGAGAATATCCAGTAACGACACGACTTCACCGCCACTCGAGGAAGTTGAGTCGCTCCTCGGCAGCGGAAACAGGGAAAACGCGAGCAGAGAACTGATGCTACCGATCAGCATGGACATTGCGAAGATCATATCCAACGATTCCGATTCCGATGAGGGCGGGGGAGAGGATTCGGACGAGATGCCCGAAGCGTTACCCGAGGTGAATTGAAACGCGTGCAGATAAAAAATTACATTATGCTTATAATGCGATGCGCGCGTTTGCGCATAAATGATCTATCGCGACGACTTTTTCCTACAATCAGAGAACGGTAGAAAGTCGAGTTTGACGTGTCCACTTGTCGTAAATTTCAGCGAGATTTATCTCATCGTTTAATAAATATGTATATTTTCCCCTGGTAGACGAGTTTCTCACGGCGCGACGCTTGAAAATATCGATACTTTTATACATGCAACCTGTAATAAATTTGAGCTCTACGACGATTTCTAAACTATCAGAATGATGTCTAAATTAGTGGCTGCCACATTAATATGATATGTTGATATCTCATTATTTTCATACTGATTCCATATTGCCATACGCCATTTATTTTTATTTGCGACCACAAGAAGAGAGAAATTTCTTAATAATTAAAAATTATTTTTATATATTAAAAAATCTTATTATTCGCAAAAGATCACACATATTTTGAAACTTATTCTTATACTTATACTTTGAAACTTATTCTTATACTTTTCTTCTCGTAAGTTTCGCCAGGCATCTGAACATATCTCTGGCTTATGTCACATGGTATATTAAAGGAAGTAACGTGTATTGAAAGAACCTCCATTCATATGCTTAGATTACGGGATTCTCGGATTTAGAACGGGCGCATCGTACGGTTTCACTTGTAGCGGCGGCCTTTAAGCAGCGCCTTTTATGCAAGTACTTTCACGTGTTCGACATATTTTATTGCTCACGACTCGTCGCAAGGACCATCTCGTGAATCTCGTGAGTGGTGTGTCGCGGTTACACTATACACTGTCAGATATATCGCGCGAGAGAACGACTTTCCATTCCGGACATTAATTAGCCAGCGACTTGAACGGATATAGGCGGATGTTGATTTATCCTGTATGGGAATAGATAAGCGGTGACAGTATTACAGCTTCTCTGAAGGCTCTCTAAAGACTGATTGTAATAAGATAAAACTTGATTTTTAACTAGAATTATTTCATTATTTTTTTCTCTGACAATTGAAAACAAGTTTATTTATTTAAGAAGCACAGAATATTATATTCAATTTTACATTTATTCAAGACATAGATGAATATAATATATGAATATAATATATTTACAGTTTAACATTTTTAAATACACAGAATGTACTCATTGTCAATGCAATGTTCCTGTTACGTACATATAACAAAAGATCATTAAGGTCAGTGCACACGGACAATGCTTGTAGACGCCTATACAATTACGCAAATATCATTAAAAAATGTATTGAAAATTTAATGTTCGCACGCCATACAGTAATTATAAATTTATCGTACATCATAAGAATTTATAAATAACAATTTAGATGACATTTTTTTACATATTAACGTAAAAGGAAAACTTCAACTTTGAAGAAATTTTTAAATTTGACAATAAAAAAATAATACTCGATAATAAAATTATAATCATTTTGTAAACAAGTTTTTTGTGAACAAGTTTCCTGAATTAAAGGCTCAAGAATTACGATTAATGAGGATCCAAGAGCGACGGCGACCCGTGCTTATCAAACCATTGCGACCCCCCATAAGACCGTCTATTCCGAACAGGAGGAACGTTTACACAGGTCAGTTTTTCCACGGTAATCGACAATCATAAATTACGCCGGATAAAAGTGGCACGAGCCGAGACAGATCGTTGATGATTTCCAGGTATATCGAGGCCGCCTGTCATGCGGCCGTCTAAACGGCCGAACGAGTCGAAGAGGAGGCCCACGGAAAACGAATGCACTTTCTTCACGAAGACGGTGTGTCTCGAGGCCAATGATTATCCGCAGTGAGTCTGCCCTGAACTTTCGTTTCGGCATTGAATTAATGACGAACATTGTTACGCGGCACAATTTGCATTTAGCCGAGATTAAAATCTCTCGGTCCGTCTTAATTGGCAAGCCAATGGTTTTCACTTTCCGCGTCTCTTCTCGAGAGCATTAAAATAACGGTGACTGAATTTTAGAGATAAATAAAACATTGATAGTATACAGTAAACCTTAATTAGTGTAGTTCAGACAACGTGCATTATTATAAAATTTGTGAAATTACTTTTTAAATTTAAATTATGTTTTTGCGAATGTACAATTAGTATTATCTGACTTATTACAAAGTTACTTATTGGCTAATTGCGATATCATTTATTGTGTGTGTGTGTGTGTGTGTGTGTGTGTGTGTGTGTGTGTGTGTGTGTGTGTGTGTGTATTTCCTGCTAAATTTCTCTAAAATTTCCATTTGATTTTACATTAGTCTTAGTCATTCGAACAGCGCATGAAAGAAATTTTTCGTTGGAGAAAATATCGCTATTATTCGCTTTTGCGAAAAAACATTAACAGTGACCTTAACTTTCTAGCGAAGCGATAATAAGAAGTTTAAGGTCCAATAAGGAAATGGTATCCGCATTGTTGACCGATTATAAGGCGCAAGATTACGGAAGCGCGGAAGAAAAATTGCCGAGCGCCCTACCGCTGGAGAATAAATACGAGAATCGCTATGAGAGCAGATACGAAAGCAATGAAATTAAAAGGTAAATAAGATATTTTATTTCCATATACTTCTTGAAGATTACTAGGTTCTATAGTACATTAATCTTTTTCAATTTTTATTAATTATAAATGGAATAATAATTACTCATATACAGTTAGAAGCAATTAAAAATAATTTCTTGTTTGTTTCATATTTTAATACATTTTATTAGTAATAAAATTTATAAATAAAATAAGGAATTAAATTAAGAAATTATATAACTAAAAAAAATTTTTCGCAATTTAACGATAATTATTTTTATTACTTCATGCATATATTTTTGGTTTCAGACGATCTGACAATCCCTTCGATAACGTGGAGGAGGGTTTCACTTGTCCATCAACTGTCAAATATGCTCGGCCGCAATTAGCGAGAGCTGCTTCTGGAGTATGGAAGTATATAATAAACACAGGTGAACACACCCAAACGATACGACTGGAGAAATGCTCGTAAGTATGGCAGTCAATATATATATACATTTAATTTAAAAGAGGAAAGGTAATTTATTTCGGCGTTAATCATTAATTTACGTAATACTTAATTTTCATTGGATAAATAAAGAATATTTGAATATCAGAGTCAAGACAATATTTGTCTGCTTTAAAGCTTAATTTATATAACGTACATCATGCAACGGAAAATATAGGAATAATACATTAACTA